TCCTCTGAAGGGTTTTTTTTTTTTTTTTTATGGAGCTCTGCAGGACCACTCTAGAGGTTGTTGATCCATGACAGCCTCTTAGGAAGGCCCTGGACCGTGTCACCCAGTAAGGGGTGAGCTGCGCTTCCCAGCCGGGGCCTTTCTGCCTCCCTGCCTCCTCTGGAGGAACTCTCACCTCGCCTCTCTTGGCTCTAGGGAAATTGTAGATGTTTGCAAAAACATCTGTAAGATATTTGTTTGCCGATGATTCCTTTTTTCCAAAGTCTCATGTCCTCCTATCCCAGTGTTGCAGTTTTCTGTCTTACTCAGATTAGTTAGAGAAGGTGGAGATTATAGTGGTGGGCCGTGGGGACTATTTAGAGAAGTGCTTGGATGGATCTACTGAGTGATTCCTTTGGCTGTATGAGGCTTCTTACAGTATGTACTTCCTGGTTTCCTCTTTAGGATTTTTCTGTTCCTGGCTTTGCATTCTGCCTCTACTTTCCCCAAGTTTAGCTCTTGAGCCTCCCCCCCCTCCCACTTCCCTCCCCTCCCATCTCATTTCCTTTCTTAAATAAGGTGTCCTTCCTTCTTTCCACTCTTCCCCTTTTCTTTTTCTTCCCATTTTGTCTTTCCCTTTAAAATCTATGGTGTAGTTGGTTCACTTGTGGGCTCTGCTGGCCGTGATTTGTTCCAACGGTCTTATGAACTAAAGAAACACGTCCCCCAAACCTGCCTTTTAAAAAAATATCCAGGTCACTGATTCATAAAAAACAATCCAATCTAACTTAAACATTTGTTTTTTAAAGAATTGGGCCGGCCCGGTGGNTCCTTCTTACAACATGATTGGAAGGAAGCAATAAAGTGGTCAGTAATAAGGAGTTTATTCAAAGAGTCACTGGATACTTTTTATCTCAGGGATTCAATATTTATGATACTTACAGTTGCTATATGTCTTTTAGAATGTTTCTATAACTAATGAGAAACCGTTTTAGAAGTATCTCTAAGAATATCACGTATCATATAACATGGATTTAACTTTCGTTTATGACATACATTTAATGACTTTTGTTGCCCTTGTTAGGTATCCATATATTTTAACCACTTTTTGGAATGAGATTCACCTATTGTAATTGCACAGTCAATAGTTTTAGTAAATGCACAGAATTGTGCGTAGGGATCCATACTGCTGTATTGTATTTTTTAGTGGAGATAATGCCATCTTTTGTTGTTGGTGATACCCTTGACCCAGAGGAAGCGTCAGCTCATTTTCAATCTTCATTTAGATTTGACTGTGCATTTTTTTTTAGTAATGATTTATCAGTGAAAAAGTCCAGAGGGGTATCGAAGTGATTCCTTGTCCTCTGAAGGGTTTTTTTTTTTTTTTTTTTGG